CCATCTTTCACCTTAACCTTAAAAAAAGAAAAGCCAAATCCCTCATTTTAAGTAGTTTCCTCCATTTCCAAGAACCCTTAGTTTCATCTCTCACATCCCAAAAGAGCTATCACGAAAAAGATAATAATGCTAAATCTAAGATACCCATAAAGAATCCTCCATAGTAAACAAGCGCCAAATCAGACTAATAGCAAATACTCGAACTGAATCTCGAAGCCATCTGATACCCAAACCTTCTTCTGGTTTAGGAGACAACAGATATTCCCACTTGATCGTAGCTTTATGGGACTGGTGAGGAGAGCCAGACCACAAGAATGCGCTACATAAACTCTCAATTGTGTCTAAGCGGTGATGATTATTCTTACTTTTATACATGCGAAACAAACTAGATTTTAATATGCAGTGATGTTTATTTTTACTTTTATATTCAGACATATTTGTTTTACAAATTAGTGGTATACAATTTAATATTAATTATATATTTAAAATTTTATGTGAAATTTTAAACACAATTCACATAATGTAATGTAATTTAATTTAATGTTTCAAACGATGTATTTATTGTTTCTTATTATATATGTATATTATCAAATTTGCGTTTGATTATTATATTTAAAAAATATTTACCTGTATATTTCTATTTAAAATTATAAGTAATAAAATAAAAACAATTATGTAGTAATATATTTGAATTTTTAATAATTTTAAATATTCATCTACAATAATATGTAATTAATAAATCAGAAAACAAAATCTGAATTTTTTAGTAGATAAGAAAGATAATTCATTGAGATCATATCCCTTCCCTTAAACATTATTTGTGAACTGATTTTGACATTTGTCATCATCACATTCGCTTTCACCAAAAATGATGACATGCCTTATAGCTAAATGTGACATAGACATCACCACATTCGCTTTCACCAAAAATGATGACATGTCTTATAGCTAAATGTGACATAGACGGCATGTGAGGAAAGCAGTGAAGCTCTACTTAATATTTGGCAGAAGTATGAGGCGGCTTCTGGACAATCGATCAATGCTGCCAAATCCTCGATCACTTTCTCGAAAAAGACACCGGGTTCGCTGAAAGCCCGGGTTACTTGTATTCTTCTTATCCATCAAGAAGGCCGAGTTGGCAAATACCTAGGTCTTCCCGAACATTTTGGTCGCAAAAAGAAAGTCCTCTTTGCATCTATAGTTGATGGGATCAAACAAAAAGCAAGCAATTGGTCTAATAGGCCTCTATCTTCGGCTGGACGCTTAACCATGCTTCAGAGCGTTCTCTCAGCCGTTCCATCATATTCCATGACTTGCTTTAAGCTCCATGCATCTCTGATTAAAAGAATCCAATCCACGATTACCCGATTCTGGTGGGACGGACCAGATCGACTACCGAAAGATGTCATGGGTTTCTTGGGATAAGCTGAAACAACCTAAGGCGCCGGGAGACCTAGGTTTCAGAGACTTTGAGTGTTATAATGATGTTTTGCTAGCTAAAATTTTGGTAAGAAAATAATAATTTGTACTTTGTAGTTTAAGTTTCAAAATTTTTATACTGCACATAGTGTAGGGGAACACCTAGTTTTTAATATTTTGTGTGTATTTCTCATGTGTTTTAAAACCAGAAAAAAATCTCATAAACTTGGCCTGTTATTCTCTAATAGAAAACAACAAAACTAAAGTTGTAATAACCATAATTCAGTGTATTAATTAGTTCTAGAGAAGAGAAAATAGATATCAATTTGTTCCTTGTGAAGCAAGGATAAGATTTTGGTGAAATTAGATAAACTAGAAATCATACACGAACCTGATCAGAAGAGGATTAGAGATTTTTAAACGTGATTGTTTCCCTACCCAGATTGGAGATGAATCTAAATTAAACGGTTTGGATCATTAAAAAGGAAATAATGCAAAAAGTAAGATATTTTAAAAAGGAAAAATATGAGATCTGTAAAACCATTATAAAAGGAGGGTTAAGGTATTCTATTTTGTTTCATCCACACATTCTTCAACGCTTTCTGATACATCGAGTTCAAGATTTGCTTCCAAAACTTTCTTTCTTTGATATCATACTTGTGAACATCTCCTTAGTTCATCTTCGATCGGTAGATAATGGCGACCAGAACAAGAATCTTCAGCTTCTTCGTCTTTTTGATGATGATGAGTTTCACGGTACTCTCGGGTTACACCTCTGCGAGGGTATACAAAGTTGGAGACTCTGAGGGATGGACCGCCAAAGACGATGTGTATTACGCTTGGGCAGATGCCGATTATAAAGAGTTCCACGTGGGAGATTCTCTCGTCTTCGAATATGATCCCAACATCAACGACGTGACTCATGTTTCTGGCGCTCTTGAATACAAGTTCTGCGACTATTCTTCTCCTAAAGCCGTCTACAACACAGGACACGATGTCGTGACTCTCACGGAACCAGGTTTTCACTACTTCATTACCTCAAACCAAGCTCAATGCGTATTGGGACAGAAGCTAGAAGTTCTTGTCATCGATGACCCCTCACGTCCCGTTCCTCCTCCACCATCACCTAGCAAGAACCTTCCTGTCGGAAACACCTACAAGGTTGGAGACTCAAAAGGATGGAACGTCTATGATAGTGACTTCTATAACAAGTGGAGTGAGGAGAAACAGTTTCAAGTTGGAGATAGTCTGATTTTCGAGTATGACAACGAAGTCAAAGACGTCTATGAGATCAGCGGTGACCTAGAATTCATGACATGCGACCCAACGTCTCCTGTAGCGGTGCACAAGACAGGACACGATCTTGTTAGACTTACGGAACCAGGAGTTCATTATTTCATAACCTCACAGTCTGGTTATTGTGAGGCTGGACTTAAGCTTCGAGTGGTGGTGGGACCACTACTCAAAGCTGTTACTTACCCTAATTTTCCCAAGAAGGTGGACTTGTCAGCTATAGAGCGCCTCAACAACTGGTTGAAGACTTTCAAACCCCAGCCTCATCATTAACCCATTCAACCTGCTTTGGAGCTATATTGTTGTCTCTTTTCTCTTGTCTAGTCTTTTAGCTTCTTTGGTGCTTTGTTACGATAGTAATTTTCTATCACAATCGTTGTAGAGTTTTATTTAATATGAACAGAATATTCAATGAAATTTACTGCGATTCCCTTTATTAATACTAAGGCCGGGAGACTCTTCTTCTTGCATAAGGGTATATCGTAACATTCGTTTCTCTCAAAAATAGACACTTCTCAATTGGTTCTTCAACTGGAAAAGAGCTGTTCGTATCTGTAGTATTTTCCTTTCAGACACTTTAAAGAAAGTGTAAGACAATATCAGGTTGTTGATTCCGTCCATTCTTGGATCAGTCTCAAACTCAGGATCAATGTAGAAAAAGAGAGATTGTGGCAATAAACAGAGAATAAAAGAGAGATTGTAGCAATAAACAGAGAATAAAAGAGAGATTGTAGCTTAACTAAAGGAGGAAAAGAACCAAAAGTAAAACCGTTTTTTTAAGGTTTTACAATGTTGTGGGTTCTTGTTTTTGCTTAAATATATTCAACCAGAGCCAAAAAGAAAAGGGCATATCAATCTGTTCTCTCGGAAGAAGTCGCTGTTCCTCAAGGCAAAAACATTGTATCTTGTTGAAATAAACTCCTGCCTGCAGAAAAAAACAATATGAGTTCTGATAATTCATTTGGATCATATTGTTAATCTTTTACTGCTTGTTTTGTTATTGCTTCAAAATGAAGAGTTATGTTAGTATTAGTGGTGGTGATTAGATTAGTGTTACTTCGATCATCTCCAACTTAACTCTGTTTTTTTTCCTATATTTTCTTCTATGATAGACCACCCGTAAAATACAGTGGAAAAATAGAGTTGGATTTGAGTTATGAGTTATGTAGCTATGTGCCCAAGTGTACTGTATTTGTCTGATGTTTATGGCCGGCCATGTTCATGAGTACACAAAAAGGCCCAGACTTCAAATTCTGTATCTAAACTTTTAGCTAAATAAGTAAATATTCTTATATTAGGGCCTTTATGTGTTCTCTCAGCTGAATTACTAATTTTAAGTTCATGGCTAAATTCCCAACCGATAAAGTGACAAGGGCTGACGCCCAAAAAACAAAAAAAAAAAAAAAAAAAAAAAACAGAAAACCCCAAAGTGAGAATCTACTATACTAGTTTAGGGCCTAACAAAAACTTGAAACAGCTTCCCGAAGCATCCTGATGTTTTGAAATTATTCAACTAAACACCTTTTTAGGGGAAATAGTTAAAAATGGCAAACACACACATGATCTTTTGAAAATTATTCAATTTAATACTCCATTCTCACATGCATCGATCGTTTTATTTACCTTAGTAGTCAGTAAACAAAGATGAAAATAGTTGACCATGAAAATCTATAAAACAGCCAACAAGAAAAAAAAAAACACTTGGATAGTTTGACATCATTGACAACACTTTATAATTAGAAAAAATACCATAAAATATGTAACTTGGGAAAGAAGACTCATTGAACATATAAAAGACATACCAATATCAAAACAACCACCATACATAAATAAAAGTTGGAGGTATTGAAGAACACATTTATCAGCACTTATTGGCTAATTAATATAAAAGGAAATGTCCAGCCCAGAAGACAGCTCTGCTGAGCGATTGCATGGTTGACACGATCTACGTAGTCACCCAACACAGACCAAAGTTCTTCCCTAAAGTCTTTTTATTCATTTTTATTTATTTCACATTTTTTTCAATAATCAAAAAGGCGCCGATGAAAATCACGAAATCATATAATTTTATTTTCAACACAGAGATCCACGCTGTCACCTAACTCGTTTTTTTTTTGAAATTATTTTGTCAAATTTTATTTTTTTCCCAGAAAATAAAAAAAAATTAAGAAAAAAACAAATAAAAGGAAGAAAACAAAACTAAAAAAGAAATAAAAGTCAGGCCTCTTTCTGCAGGATTCACATTTGGTCTCTCTCTCTCTCTCTCTCTCTCTCTCTCTCTCTCTCTCTCTCTCTCTCTCTCTCTCTCTCTTCGATTCTATTTCAGTTCTCGCTCTTGTGTACACGCTTGAAGAAACTGAACACAGAACCCATGTCTGGATTATACAACAACAACTCCTCCTACTTCTCTTCTCCAGCAAGAGCTGCTTCTCCTCAGATTAGAAGCACTCCTGAGATCGACAGGTATGTCTTTCCAAAAGAACACTCCCTTTTTTTGTTTAGCAATAAAAAAAACCGATCTGACTGTTCTTTCTTTGTCTCGAAACAGCTCTCAGTACTTGACAGAGCTTCTTGCTGAACATCAAAAGCTTACTCCTTTTACTCAAGTTTTGCCTATATGCAGCCGCCTCCTGAATCAAGGTTTCTCCTTTATATTTCACTCTCTTCTTGATCTTGAATTCGGATTAGTTAATGTAGAGTGAGATCAAGTTGAATGGTCAGATCAATGTTTGGTCTGATTTTGAATCAGTCAATAAAGTAGTAATAACCTTATTAGTGTCACTGCCTTGTGTTTGTTTCTGTTCATTTAAAAAAAAAGGGTTTATTGATATGTGCAGAGATGTTCAGAGTGTCTGGAATGATGTCTAGCCAAGGATTTGGCGATTTTGATAGACTCAGACACAGAAGTCCAAGTCCTATGGCTTCTTCTAATCTTATCTCTAACGTTTCTAACACCGGTTTAGGTGGTGGCTGGAACGGCCTTCCTCAGGAGGTATTATCATCTACTCTTCAGTTACACAGTTTTAATAGTTGTTGATTTGTTTTAAGCTCTGTACTTATGTTGTCTAAAGGTTTTAGTCATTCTTTCTTTCACAATGCTTTACCACGCTTGTCTAAAACACTTGGTTTCTAACAGAGACTCAGTGGAACACCTGGAATGACAATGGATTGGCAAGGTGCACCAGGCAGCCCCAGCTCATACACCGTCAAAAGGATATTGCGTCTGGAGATTCCAGTGGATAGCTATCCTAATGTGAGTACTCAGTTTGTTTTCAAGCATTTTATATGCAAAACAACTTCACAGTATTGTTTCTCCTCTGTTTTATCAGTTCAATTTTGTTGGTCGACTTCTCGGTCCTAGAGGCAACTCGTTAAAGCGCGTTGAAGCTACTACAGGATGCCGTGTGTTTATCAGAGGGAAAGGCTCAATCAAGGATCCGGAAAAGGTGAGATCCATCAAACACTATCACAGATCATGTAACATTTAATATACTTTCAATGAGGATTATATTGATTTATCTCTGTTGTATGATGAAATGTAGGAAGATAAGTTAAGGGGAAGACCAGGATATGAACACTTGAATGAGCAGCTTCACATCTTAATAGAAGCAGACCTTCCAGGCAGTATAGTGGACATACGTCTGCGACAAGCTCAAGAGATTATAGAAGAGTTACTAAAGCCTGTGGTAAACACACACATTACTCCTCCATTCTTTTTTTTTTTTTTTTTAATTCTTCTTCTATCATTATAATCTGTGTAAGGTAGCTAAGATAGTAGTATCATCTTCCTTGAAGGGTATAAGATTGAAAGGCAAAAGCCACGTTTTTCTTTTAGGTTCTTGCTTAGTTGTTTTGCACCATTAAGACTATGTATACACATTACCTGTAGGGCCACTTGTTTTGTCTCAACGTTTGTATTTCAGTACACACTCTTTGGAGTATGCGGTTAGTATTCAATTATGCAGACATGTGTGACCACTCTCATACCAGTCAAAGCAGCAATTGGTGTTACCGCAAACGCCAAAAACCATAATTGTTTTGCCCTTTTTGATCTTTTGTACTTAACCGCAAAGCATAATGTGAAAACATTGGATTCGTTTTTAACATTATAACGTTTTTGTTTTGTATTTGGTGGTTGTAATGTGAAGGACGAGTCGCAAGATTTCATAAAGAGACAGCAGCTGAGAGAACTAGCGTTGATAAACTCAAGCAACCTGAGGGAAGAGAGTCCAGGACCAAGTGGCGGTGGAAGCGTTTCACCTTTTAACTCAAGTGGTAAACGCCCCAAAACAGGATGCTAAAGGAGCGTTTTTGTTGGTCTCACAAATGGTTTCTTCTTCAACCAAAAAGTACATTGTCTGCATACACAAACACACATGTGTTGTATTTGGTTTGGCCTAGTAGTGACTGCAATGGTGGTGGTCATTGGTTCAAGTCAAGGCCCTCCCTCTGGTCTCTCTCCGGTGAGCGACCATGTGGCTTTCCTTCCTTTATTTTATTTATTTAATTTTTTGTATTATTCGTCTTTATCAGACGACATCATAGATTCATTACCGATTATTTAGAAAAAGTTGAGATATATAAAATATATATATGTAAGGAAAAGATGTGCATGTGAGGGTATGGGGGCGTGCATTGAAATTCTTATTGTAAAAACAAAAACAAAGACATTTATTGGATTGATTCTTTGTTTGATTTTGGAAACTTTTCTGTAAAACTTTGCTTATTTTTTTATTTATTTTCAAACATTTCATATTCTTTTATTTGTCAATACTATATAACCTTTGAGCAAGGAAGCTTTATTGTGGTTCCAATGTGAGACGAACACAACCGATGAATTACTAGATTGAATTTGATTATATGTTATTACGATTCACGGTAGAACAAACTGGCCCGACACATGACAAGTGGAGATGTATCTTTCTGTATTTGATCATGTTGTACATGTAATTGTTCGGTAGGAAATGGTTATTGTAGTAAAATTCTTATGGAACAAAATACATAGGGTTAGGAAGCTTGAAGGTGCGGTTTCCTGAGTAATCTCCTTGTAAGTCACTCCACTGGTCTCCTACATTTCCCCATATCCTGTAACCTTCTTCCATCATTTGCTTTCTGATTGTTGTTTTGTATATTGTTGCACTGTGCTTTTTGTTCTCCGCCGTCCTGAAAATATAATTTATTTTCCACATTTCGAAAGAGATACTTTTATTCCTTTTTATGTTAGGGAAAAAAAAATCGTTAAAAAATAAGCAAAGCTTCTATTTACCTCATAATCAACCTTTCATAACCAGTGAAGCCTTGATTATGCAAATTTTCTCGAGTTGCCTGGCCAAGAGTTTCTTCATCTCTTCCGGTTACTAGGATCACTTTGAAGCCTGTTTCTATCAGTTCATTAAACAGTTCAAGAACAGGTTGTATTGCTGGAGACGCTCCTTTCATCGCCCATGTTCTAAATCCGGTTGGATCATAAGGGTCACATCTGCATGTCAACAATTAGGTCTAAGAATTAGAACATGCTAAGTTAAGTTAGTCTTCTTTTAAAGATGTTTCTAGCTGATACACTAGTTGAGCTACCAGTGTATTTTCTAGTTACGGTTTATACTGTTGACCATTTTAATTGTGGTTTAAATTTTTTTGTGGCTATATAATTAATTTCTACTAGTGTTATGTTAGCTATATTGGTTAGACGTAGTCGTAATGTGAGAAGGGAAAGGAACTTGTGTGTACCCGTATCTCTTGAGCCGATAGTAAAAGACATTTGAGAAGCAAGTATCATCAACATCGAAGATCCATGCATCCATGCCATCACCAGGAAGGACTATCTCATTGAGATAAACCCTGATTTGTTCCACAATTAACTGAACGTCTCTATCATATTGACCAGCAAGCATATATACCTCAACATAACGCATACATTGGATAGGAACGGTGCGCCACGCACGTACATTGTTTGTTTCTATTGCTAGCCTCCAGCTTAAGCAATAGCTACCAGGATTGTTTCCCTCCATCGGCAGCCATGGATTTGCACTGGTCGTTGCCACTGTGGAGATTGTTATAAAGATGAGAAGCAACTCAACTCTCTTATATCCCTCCATTGCTCTTGATTCTTCTGTTATTTTTCCTGAATTGACAATAGAAAACTAGTGGACAATATACAAATTAGGGACGCTCTTTAATGGTGAAACAAGAAGACTAAAAAAAGGAGAAAGTAGTCTTAACTAGAGTATTGTAGTGGTGAGAAGAGATGTTAGTTAAGAGTAGTATTTAAAGAGCTTTGGTTAGGTAGAAGATACTGGACTGTGACAATAAAAAAAAAGAAGGTAGAAGATACTGGTTAACTTCATCCACTAAGTCTCTCAACTTATGAGGTTTGCAAAAAGTAATACTACTATAAACTATGTAAATGGGGTCAAAACTAGCAAGCGCACGAGTTCACTACCACAAAATCTATATATGCACCACTACTTATATTCCAACACTTTCACATACCTTGCACATCATCCTCTACTATATAGTACTACTAATAATAATAATACATCATTCCCATTTTACAAAGTGGCATTATATCTTTTAGTTAGTATACATCACTAGGTGGAGGAGCTCACTAGTCTTTATATATATTTATATATATATATATATATATAAGATATGTTAAACCTACTTAAAGCACTTATGGTGGAAGCCCACTTGGTCCAGTGGTTTAAGTAAGAATTTATTAATGTTTTTATACTCGGAGGTTTTGGGTTCAAAGCCCAGAAAACACCAAATTATGTACGATTATGGAGAAACCAGTTACAAGAGATCTTCAGCTTAGGGCATGGCGTACCATCGAACATGGATCTCATAGGACGGTTCGGAGTGATGCAGTTAGGCGTGTATTTTCACAAGATGGTAGAATTGTCGGCTGTAAAATTGTCTATGTAATATTCTCATCGTTGTAATAGCATAATTAATCAGACGTTAAAAAAAAAAAAAGCACTTACCAGGCATGGTCAACTACACCAAAGTTTTAGGGTTTCATTTGTGGTTTTCTTGAGAATATGCCCGATGGTAATTTGAATGGTCATCTGGTTTTTGGTTAAACTAGTTTAATGTGTCTTGTGTTTTCTCAGTTCATGTAATATTATAGACAAAAAAAATATGAATAGATTCTTTGCTAGGGTCAATAAGAGGGTCTTGCAGATCATTATCAAGAAATTAACAAGGGTTGGGCACAAATTTGTCAAACCAACCAATAAATGGACCGACCAAATAAGACTTACATGACGGATTGGATGCTGACAAGGATTAGATTGTCATTAGCTTTTGTCAACAAAAAAGTGGATTACACATAAGTAGTAGTAGTAATGTGATGGAAGAAAAGGTAAAGGACAACAGCTAATGGAGCTAAGAGTTGTCAACACTACTACATTGACAAATCCTTTAAGAAGTTTTTTCTTTAATCTTATATATTAAAACAGAAGTCATGACTTGATTTCATGTGTGATTTTTTTAAAAATGAACTGTTACTAGAAAGTTGTGTTACATTAACTCTCTAATAATATTATCATTATTATATCTTATAATGTGCTTAACAATTTTGTTTTGGTAAATTACCCCACACCTTCCAACTTAGTCACGCAAAATATGTCAATAGATATAAATTTAGGAATCTTCTATTATTTATAAGGAAATATGTCAATAATAGTTAAATGCATCCAGAATATATTAACAAAAATCACAGATTATTAATATGTAATATTTATACACCTTAACAAAATTTACACGTTATATATATTAGATAAATTTATTTCGATGTAAAATTTTAAAATTGTATTTTTAAAAAAAAAGAAATTGTTTAAAAAGTTCCTTTTAATAAACTTTTTATAATATTAATTTATGAAA